GTAACAAATCAGTTGATGGTGTGGAGGTGGCGACGTGCATGTGGACCGTGGTGGTTGCGGACTACATGTGAGGTATAAGTGGTGGCGAAGATTTGGGTGGTGCTAACGGTGTGTAGTAGCGTAGGGGAGAGGTGAGGAGTGATTGTGATCAAAATTATTTTGGTAATTTATCACCAATAAATAATTTGTGAAACTATAATAACATGTAATTTGCTACAAGTGATGTTATTACATTTATTTTGTATATAATGGTATATGGATAGGCGACGTGGAAGAGAAAGAAAGAGGGAAAGAGACGGAAAGAGAAGAAACTCAATTATTATAATCTTTCCCTCTCTTCTATGTCATCTATCTGTACACTATTATGTACACAATGATATACATATATCATTACTTATTTGCAACTAAATTTATAATTTTGAGCTACGGATTGTGTGTTTGTAACTATGACCTCGTGTTTGTGAATAATATGTGACCTTAACCATAAATTACGTGTTATTTGTGATCATGATCCATTTAGTTTAAATGTAAGATAAGATATTTAAAAGTATTGAAATTATGTTTTTTCCCTTTTCTTTAATGGAGCACTAAGAGTATAAACCGAAACCCAATTTATCACAAACAAAAGTAAAAATTACACCAATCAGGTTTTTAAAGATCCTAATTCAAAAATCAGATATAAAGTTTGTTTATACAAAAATCAGATACTAATTCAAATATTTGATATTAATAATATGCAGCCCTTGTTTGAGGCCCATTCTTTGGAAAAATACATTTTTAAACAGTCATTTAACATCATTTCAATAATACATTTTTCAATAAAATAACATTACATACAAATTCAAAATATTTTCTTATTTTTTAACCACACATTTCTTATCAACACACTATTCAAAAATTATGAGGTCACGACAAAAGACATCCACGAATTTAAAATTATTTTGACAGAAACCTCTTATTTGTCCCTAGTATTAGGTGGTCCGATATTTTTTAAGATTTTTTTACAGCTTACAATTTTCTTATTTATGGTTTTCTGTTAAAGGAAATAAGAGAAATCAAAAGAATTTAAGTTCTTTTAACAAATTTTTTTCTTCAGTGAAAAAAATAAAATAAAATTGAATCTCAATTATTTCACACGGTCTACTGAATATAAATTTGCTCTTTCTAATACTTAGATTTCCACTCAATTACCTCTTCGAGTACAATTAATTTTTGTTAATATAAAGCAAAACTATTGAATAAAAAACAAAAAATGTCTTGAAGTAAAATTCGACAAAGAACATGAAAGAAAATATTTAAGATGAAAAGATGAGAGGAAATTGAAAATTGGCTAAATAGCACAGAACTACCCTTACTATTGCCATTGCTGCTGAAAACTCTCTTACCTTTTGAAAATAGCACAAAACATCCATGTTTCAAACATTTCTTGTGGAATACCCCTTCCGTCACATTCCGTCTATCTCGTCATTAAATCCCAATAAATAGGAAAAAAAGAACAAAAAGAAAGGACAGAAGCCCCCACCTATTAGACATGATACGCAATAACTCTCCACCTATTGAAGTTAATGAAAAAGGTGCTTACTATCTATTTTGAATTTTCTCAATAAAAAGATTAAAAATGACGAATATATCCTCATATTTAAATAAGACAAATACAAAATTAATTTCAACTATTGTTCCAAAATTTAAAAAATAAATGTAAACAATTCCCAAATAAATATTACAAAAAAATTAAATTAAAAATAAAAAAATCTCCAAATAATTGAAAAAAAAAATTCCCCACCCCATGCCGTACTTCATCTTCTTCCCCAACAAAAAACAGAAAATAACTTACCATTCTTCACCAATTCGACCCCCAATCCCATTCAAATTCTTCATTCTACTCCCAAAGTTAAAGAGGAAGTTTTTTCTCTAAGTGGTCATGGCTAATAACGGGAGAAAATACTTTGGTAGGCACCATCCTATATAGTGTGAAGTCAAATGAGGAGTTACCACCTCATCAATTGGCCCACCCTCACCGGATGAGGTGAGACCACATCGGGACTTGATTTTCTCTTTTTCCACCTTAAGTCCCAAGGTAGTCTCACCTCATCGGATGAGGATGGCCCAACCAATGAAGTGACAGCTCTACATTTGAAGGTCGCACCATATAGAACAATGCAATCATCTCATCAAAATATTTCTTAACAATGGTGCTTTTTCTCCTACCAGCAAGGGCTAATTGCGGACTATAGATATTCAATAACTGTGAGTGACTTTTAGTTTCATCTATTTCATGTCGATTCACTACAATTATTAAAAAACCTGCTTGAGTTTAGCAACACTCCCATAAGCACATATTTTAGGGCACCATTTTGATTTTTTTATATGGAGATTTTTTTAAAATTTTTTTAATTACATATATAGGACTTATTTTCATTTTATTTGAAAAAAATTAGGATTATAGTTGAAATTAAATTTTTTTCTTCTTTTCTTTTTGTATTTTTTAAAGAGTAGGGTATTTCGTCATTTTCAATCTTTTCATTGAGAAAATAGAAAATATGGACTTTTTCTTTTAATTTCAATAGTTGAG